ATTTACTTTTATTTTGATGGTTCAGACTTGCAGCTAATGAAAACTGGCCAATGGACTACTTGACAATAGTCCTGAGATTCTCTGTGTGGTTTAGGTCAACCCAGTTTCTGGCATTACCATTGGTGACTAAAGCAGGCACTAGTACTTTTGGCACTACGGGTTGGTACCTAAACCTTCTGTAAAATGAAATCAACACCTCCATAAAGCTTGTCAGAAGATGAAAGAATTGACCACCACAAATAATTCAGAATGAACAGACAACAAAAGAACCTAAAGTTGTCTTACATTAAATAGTTTGATTTTTTTTTTTTTGCTAATTGTAGGATCTGAATTGATTCTTTTTACATTTCAGGTCTATAGTACACCTACAAAGGAAGAAAGATGTATTATTCTTATTACACAGGTGAAGGACTTAAGTATTGTGCAGATTCAAAAGCAATCTGTCCAAAGCTACTGGCTGTTTACCAAGCCTAGCAGAAATAAAGATGGAACAGCTGAGCTCTGTGAAGAAGTCTTTGTGTGAGTTGGTCTTTTCTGATTTGTGTCATAATGTGCTCACTGATCACAGTGCTGTGCATAGTCATGCACACCAAAAGGAGACCTCTGGTTATGAGGAGACATTTCCCAGGGGATAGGCAGAGCTCTGGCACAGATGTGCCCTGCTCTAGGTAGTAAAGGAATGAATTGAGAATGCAGTGACTCAGATTACCAATAATCTCAGTCTCTCATACACACTGGCAAACTCAAATTAGCAGGAGAGGAAGAAAGTCCTTGTCCACCTGCAGGATAATCTCAGTGGTAAAATAATTTTTAGTAGCATTATTAGTTATCAGTCAGTCAAAGGGTACAAGTCTCTGAACAGCTGAATGTTCCTAGTGTAGTTTGCCTTGTGGTCCGAAAGAGGACAATTCTACACTTGGCAAGAAATAGTCCCGCTTTTCCAAGGAAGCACTGAACTAATCAGGAGAACAAAAATCAGTGGCACGATGGCTAAAAAATCCAAAAGACACTTAAAAAAATGAGTAGAAAATAATAGACCTGTAGTAACTTAAGATGTTTGCTAACATTTAGAATTGGAAATAACACATTTGGCAGTAGTAACCCAATTTATATGATAAGTTAGTAATATATCAATAATGTGTTATACAACCACATGGAAGACCTGGAGGTCTTCCATCTGCCACCATCAAAGTTCCAATCATAAGACACTCTCCACTCCTATGAAGAGTGTTGTAGTACCAAATTGTAAGGTGGCTCCTTGACTGATGCTTCATTTAATTGACATCTGCAGATTTTGGAACCCAAAGTAACATTTTGCAAAAACTAGACAGAAATAAGAGGAAATACACTGAACAGTCTGCTGGGATGAGAGATGCGATGATCAATTACTGCTTTTCTTTGAGGTCTAACCTGCTGATTCCACTTTTTCATTCTCAAGACTGAAGATGCAACACAAAATAAATCAGAATCTACATAGAATTAAATGCTACAACAAAGACTAACAAGAGAAAATAAGACATCATAAAATTATTTAAGAGTGGCTTAAGATGAGAGGCAGAGCGAGCACCCCACATACAGAGTCTGTGGTTCAATTCCTGTGTTCAATTCCTGACTCTCGGATCTTTGTTTCATCTCTTTCCCCCTTTTCTTTCCACCCATTTCCTGTATGGTGACTACTAATAAAGGTCTGTAGTGCTGAAAAAAAAATCTAAAAAGAAGATTGACATAAGAGTAGCTGTGACCCTCTTCAGTTAACCAGTTTCAGTAGACTTTTAAATGTATGAATGTATAAATGTATGAATTCTGGGACTCAGGTATATTTTTAAGATGCAATGGAATGTCACAGAATGTTGAATAAACTACTTATAATATTAATTTCTTTGAACAATTTAAGCTGTATGTGTTGTTTATTGCAAACACCTGAACAATTTATTTTCCTGTTTTTCACACACAGAGAAAAATGAATTCTGGAGGACAACAGAAGGGCTCTAATCTAAATCCTGATCTATCAGTCTGTGTTTGCTTAGCCTGGCTGTGCCACTGTTGCCATGCCAATGCCAAGCACCCCTAATTAGTCCACTGACAAGCTTCACTCCAAATACACTCGGCAGGCAATAAGGACAACTTTAACTGCTCAAATGGTAGCCAGATTGGAGCAATCAGGCATGCACCATCCGGCAGGTGCTATGCAAACACAAACGGTGGAGGAGTGGCCAAAGTCCTGACAAAATGCATATGGTCATTACAACTGCCATAGACACCATTTATGTCAGATGTTTTAAATCAAGTCATATAAATGTAATTTGATATTACTATAGAAAAACTAAAAAACAACGGGTGGATTGGATGCAGTGATGAAGACAATCCAGAAAGCCCTGAATAAAAAATTTATAGGAGTATAAAAATTAGCTAAATCTGAGACCAAATAGTCAAGCGTATAGGTATAGAGGAGAAAACAGAAAAAGATTGCTAGAGATGGCCAATAGAGGAGGTGATAGATGAGTGGGGAGTGCTGCTGGAGGCAGGAAAAGCATGACATAGAGACAGACGGAAAGAAACACAGCAGAGAGGAGAGGAGAGGAAGAGCAGCAGCGTCTCCACCGTTTGCTCTAGCCTCTCTTGCTGTACACCTTCTTCTCTTTAATTTTACATTCTGAAGGGATTCAACAGCGTACCACAGACGATTCACTGAAGGGGAAACAAGCTAAAGCTCACCATTACCTTTGAGCAGCAGGATATCTTTGGTGACAGATGACAAAGCTTCACACAGAAAGATCGTACTTCTCAGGTAAACTAACGCTTGACAATTACAAGAACGCTGTTGCTGGTTTGCATGTGTGGCAAGAAGCTACTGCAAAAATATATGTTAATCAAAAACACATGTTGGCAGGTTGGAGGTTTGAACCAGGTTTTTACACAATAATTATTTAACCAAAAGAACAATTGAACAAGATAATTCCCAGCACAGTCAAGTCTCACAGAGACAACCTCTCGGACTCGGACCACTCACAGTGCTGGAAACTAAACATGCTAAAGCAGTCCTTACTGCTGGTGAGCTAAACAAATGCTTTGTGTCAAAAATAATATATTCAACAGCTGGAGAAACTATTGCTTCAATTTCAGTTTAGAGTTCTAACACCGGGTGCTGTAAAAGTCAGCTTTTTTCCACAGTTCTATTAAGTGCCTCAAAACAAAGAACCCCATCATTTTTATTCATCAACCAACAGCATGGACTTTGATTCACTTTTACTGTCACACACTGTGCAACATTAAAAAAGTTACATTAAAGATAAGCTTAAATAAAAGTTACATTAAATGCCAATGATAGGGAAAGTGCCCTATTGACTTGCACTAGTTTTTTTTTTGTTTTTTTTTCTCATTTAGTATTAAATTTATTAGCCACAAAATATTAGCTAGGCCTACTATTGGCTCTGTAGCAGCTAACCGTGTTAAAGCTTCCCTGGATAAGAGGTCCTGTGGGTCGAATTTCAGCTGCTTACCTCCACTCGTCCCATTCTTCTGAACTTGGGAGGTAGAATCCTATCCCAGAGATGGCCGTCCTTATTGTCACTACCTGGGATAACTTGGATTTAGTATGGAAACTATGGACCACACAAGCTGAGATGCTACACAATTCAAATTCTACACCTATTAAAACATTTTGATCGACTGCTTTGGAATGCATTTAAAGTCATTTAAATAAAAAATAAAAGATCTATTAGGTCACCCCAAAAGAAAGAAATATTTCAGATTTTCACATTTATTCCAGTTTATACCTTATACCCACATTTTTATTAGGGAATGTAGTAAATGCTTAAAAATAAAAGAAAATGTATAAATATAGTGATTCTGAGCAATAAAAAAGGTCATATTTAAATGTTTAAGCTAGTCAGTAAATGTATAATACACTCCTCTGAGACAGTCTGCAGACAAGTAGTTCACAGTTTTCGCTGCTCATTTGCTGAACAACATATGATGAGAAGCATCAAAGACTCAGAGCAGGGCAACTAAAACTGATTAAACAGACACTCTTCATACACACAAACAACTCTGTAACCATTCACAGGCAGGCATCTAAGTATCAGGGGATGATGGCTGAGCTTTAATTGGACTATGTGATCCAACAGCCAGACCACAGGATAATAATCTATTTCAAGGTGACCCAAAGATTTTGTTCTTTCCTTGTCTCCACAGAATCTGAATGGGAGCAGAAGATAATCTCAGGGGAAGTGATGACTGGGGAACATGCCTGTTCTCTGCCTCCCTCACAGCCACTTCAACCATTTATAAAGTATTAAGGATGTCCAGAATGAAGGGCACTGGAGACTTGAATGTTGTAAAAGGTCTTACCATGACGTACATCAGGATATCTAGCCATTGGTTCCACGTTTGGACTTAAGGGATTTGAAGAGGAAATTGCTTTGAGCTCACTGGAGAAACCACACAAAGTTGCATTCCTTCTCTGTGGTAGTTTTTCTTGTAATTTTTTTCTCTCTGATGTTCTCTGGAATTTTTTACACTTGCAAGAGGTGAATATAAGGATCTCCAAATAGACGACTCTGAAAGTGTGGAAACATTCCATGGATAATAGTGATTGGTAGAGCGAAGAAGGACTGTTAAGAAGCTGTCATTATTTTGCCCTGGAGATGACAACAGTTCAAGCACAAAGGCACAATGACAAGATTGAGCTTTGTATGAAAGAAACCATTGATCTTAGTGCACCACACTGATGCTGCAAGGCACGAGGGGTGGGTGAGTGCTGCTTCTGCTTGCACTTGAATATCTATTATCCCTAATCGTAAAGATCACTAAAACACTTCTGGATTTTTAGTAATTATATTAAGCTGATAAAGAAAGGCCATTGTAAATCCAAGTGGCATGATGGGAAGTGACCTCATAAAGTCTCAACATAGTGGGATGACGTGACATACTCCAGTAGGATCCTTGTAGCAACTGTGACAGCTGAGTCGAGAGGACAGTAATGGGAGGGATCGGTGAGTCAAAGCCTGATATCACACCTGTGTTTACTTGTCTTCAGTTCAAACCACAAGAGGAACCAAGGTTTCCTCATAGTGTGTTCCGGTGTCTGACTTACTGATTCAGCAGAAAAACCAGGACACTGCAAAGATGTCAAATAATAATAATAATAATAATTATAATAATAATTGTTCACATTTTCCAAGTATAAAGGGTCAAAATGTGGTGGAGAATATTTCTGATGCATGAAAAGGTTTTAAATTAAATTTCAAATTAATGTGGGAAAACCCTTTGTTTTTTTCAGAAAGTCAAAGTCTACACCCTGATTCAAATTATTCAAAGTTTTCTTTGGACAGGTTAACCCTAATTTATTCATACCCCTGGTGGACTGGCATTTTTACCGTTTACTCTAGAAACAGATTTTTGGTGATGAGCTCCAACTTGCAGGTTGGAAGACCTCCCTGCCATCACTTCAGTCTTTAGGTCCCTTCACAGATTCTACATTAGACTCAGGTCTCCCTGTTAGAAAAGAAAATGTTGGTAAAATAAAAAAGATTAACAATTTTTGGTGTTTAATTGTAGTCACATAACAGATAAGACTTGTCTTGTGACTAAATATTGCTTTCAAAGACTTAATTTTATACTTATTTTACAATAAGTTGCTAAGTTGCTATTACTAGCAACATGAAAATTTGATTTTATTTATGCACTATGTGGATGGTTTTTGAGATGGAGTTGTGTGGGAAACTTATCAAGTAGATATCTTGCCTGTATTAAATATCAGATTACATAATCAACCTTAAGTAAATAACACTTCAAATTCACTTTCTTATAAAATGGGCACTAAGCATACAAAAAAGGAGCACCAGCAAAACCAGGCTGCCATGGATTTTTTTAGATGCTTCATGAACAATTTCAATGATTATCATAATAGATAGACAATTCAGATAGATGAACAATTCAGATTACAAAAGTGAAGGACCCATTTAAAATAATCTATAACTATCAAGATATATTTTTAAAAACTATAAACTAAATACATAAATTTCCTTTACCAGACATGAGGAAACAAGAAGAAAAAAATCTTAATAGTGCCATTCATATTGAATTCATTTTAGTAAGACTACAAAAGTATTATTCAACTTTAGTATAAAATAATTCAAACAGCATTTAGAACACTGGGTGCTGCTTCTTTGACTTGTAAAACTGATCTACTGGTTGCTCCAAATAGTTAATTAGTGCTTCCAAATATAGTCTGATATGTCATATTATTGTCACAATGGCATACCCTATGTCTGTCATATTGCATTATAAAGGCAATCTTTATTGTCATTATAGTAATTTTTTAGACAATAATTAAACGGAAATTGTTTTTCCCCAGCACCACTACCCACTGATATTACTTAATCCTGGGTACTATGTAGACGCCCGTCAGCCCTGTGAGAAACTGCTGTACGGTCAGTAGCCTGACCTGATTTCCAATTGAGCTAATCCTTATCTGAACACATGTGGCCCTCAGGCTATTATGTTTTAACTCAAAATGAGTTACCTAAACCTGAAACAAGTGAAAATGATAAAAATTGTGAAGTCAGGACATGCACTTCATCCAAACACAGCCAAAACTGAACATTACATCCTTCATCACAAAATAGAGGTGGAATAAATTTTCATATTATGCACACTTTAAATATGTGGCATAACTAAATTACACAAAATCTCATTATATTTCCTCATATTTAGGAATATGAGGAATAAAACATATGTGTTTTTTAAAATGCCATAGCAATCAACATTGAAAACAAGGTTCAAGGTTTCCCCCAGAAAACTTGCTCTTTATGTTTTTCCTCCAAAGTAGCCAGACCTGTGCCTGTTATTTTTGTTTGATTGCAGTCATTGAACTGTTAAAATGACCATTAGTTGAATATCAGGCAAAATCTAAAAAAAGGTATTACGGTTATACAAGGGATTTATGAGTAAAAAAACATATTCAACTTCATATGTGAAAACAAAATAGGAAAATGAAAGTAAAATGGAAATCACAGAAGAATGGAACAGTTAATTTGTGACAGTTTGGAGATGTACCGATTCGTACTCATGGAGAGAATTTAACTGGACATGCCTGATTAGATTTTTTATAACACCAAAACAGAAAATTTATTGTACCAGGGCAGAGCCTAAATGCTGGAGGCAATGTGGAAACACAGAACCAAACCACTGGCATATATTCTGGGACTGTACAATTATAAGACACTGTTGGATAGAAATACACAAAACTATTGAAAATATCTAGAATATAAGAATACCTTTTAAATTTGCTATCTTTATTCTAGGTGACACAGAATCCCTGCCTGACAATGCAAAATATCTGTTTCAAATACTAATTACAGCCTGTGAAAAACCTGTCACCAGATGCTGGCTCCTCCCTTTAGAAGAATGGGATAGAGTGTTAATGAAATCTATCAGATGAAAAGATTAACATTTTTAATTCGTTTTCAACTGAACAAGTTTATACTATCTTGTGGTCCAAATGGGTGTCCTACGTCAACAAATCACAATATGCAAGAATACTAGATTATTGAGAATTAAAAAAGAGAGGGTTCATTCTTCAGAGTGTGTTTATTTGCTATATAATTTACTTATTGTTATAAACATAAAAGTAACGTTTTTCCAAAATAATACTCCCTTGTTCCATCTTTTTTTTGTTTTTGTAAATGGAAATGTAAAGAGAAGGAATTATGTATCTGATCATAGACTGAAATTGTGCTCTTGTAATCTTCTCAATACCTCTAAAATAAAGAATAATAAATAAATAAAAACATAAAAAACATTTTTTTTAAATGACCATTAGTTGTGCTGTGCATTTCAACAATATTCAGACAGCATCACATCTAAAACATCTAGCTGATAAAAATTATGTGAAAGTTATGTTTTAATAAAATGCAAAAAGTATGTAGTAAAAACATGCCCAGAGAGATACGTGATTTCTCACCGCTGTAAGAACACCTTACAACGTTTTGGGTTTTTGACACAACTACATTTGTGTGGGGGGAACTAATGAGAGAGGAGCAATGATGCCTTTGTGACTGTCTATTGGGAGCAAATAACCTCAAGAGACAATTTAACGTAGGTTATGAAGTGGGGACACAACACTGACTCCCTCTTTAAGCTAAGGAGCTATAGTTATGTTAGGAAAAGAAAAGATAACTAGTTTAATACAAGTAGCTGTGACCCTGAAACAGGGTTTTTTTCTCTGCACATCACCAGAGAAAAAAGTGATGTACAGTTTTTCCACATCTAATCAAAGCATTATTTGTGTGCAAACCTCTCTCCAGGTGACTTCTTACTGGCAGGATAATGCACACAGCTGCAGTCCTAATCTCTGTCGCTACAATGAGCAACATGACTGTGCACGACACACCTAACCTCCATGACCTTGACCGAACTTCGTCTGAGGCCATTTATCCAATCAGTTTCCAGGTATTCTTTTAGCTTGGCTAATGCAAAAGAGTTGAAGGAGGAATTAAATCAAATCTCAAAATGTTTTCTGTTGCATGAATATTATTTAGTGAAACACTTCCATAAAACATTCCAAGGACCAATTTCTTTAAAACTTATTTTTAGCATTTTTGTCCAAAAATGCCAAAGTGGGATGATTCTGGCCCACCGTTACCTTTGCTTCTGTCCCGGGTTCATGACATGCACTGAGCCGTGGCCAGTCACTAAAGTTACTGTTCCACTAACAAGTTGGTTACTTGTTCGTGGAAATAGTAGAATAGGCCTTTTTTAAAATAAAAAAAATGAAGAAATGCCAGAAGACTTTATGGGAATAAATGATATACAACCATACCAGCATGAACCCGAACCTGAACTGGATGCCCCTTGTCGTTTCATCTCATTTTCTGGCATCACAGAAAATACAGTATTATAAAATAGATTTTATAATACTGAATAAGAATATCTATATTTAAAAACACTTTTCAGTTCTCAGGAAACAATGTCCATATTAGCATGAGACTGCTCAGAGAACACAGTCATAGAAAAATTTAATACTGTACTTTTTCACAACACAAGATTTCTGTTATTTCTATTGGAAGGTTTCCTTGACAAGCTTTCTGGTTTTGGAGGTCGTGTTGGGCCTAAGCTCCAATCTTACGGTGCTGGTCCTCTACTGCATGAAACAGAACCTCATCAGCTCCGTTTCCAATATCATCACCATGAACCTGCATGTGGTGGATGTGTTGGTGAGTTCTCACTTCCACTAGTTTATACCTTTTATGTTTTTGCATTAACCTCAATGGTTGAAGATTAAAATTTCAGCTGCTACCCTATCCCCCTTCACAACAAAATCATTATCACTTCCTTCTATATTACATTGTCAAATCATCTCTCCATCTCATCGGCTATGTTAAATAAACTTTTGAATTTAGTTAACTTCAGTGCAAAATTAAATTTCCTTCAAATCCTGCTGTAGAGATATACCAAAATGTATTTACCACCAACTTAATTAGGGTTGCCTGTCCACATATGTTAAAGACAACTTGTTCAAGTAATCACATAACACTTATATAGTGTATTTCTGGACACTCAAATATGCTTTACAATGAAATCAGTCATTCTCATTTATGCAGCATCATTCACACACTGATGCTAGTAAGTTACAAGATTGTAGGCACAGTTATGATGACCACTACCAGCATTCAAGGTAGTTGAAGTGTCTTGTCCAACACAACACAGACAGAGACTGGCAAAGCATGGACTCGAACTAGCAACCCACCATTGCCTCTACAAAGTACAAAGTAAGTCAAAAACAGTATCTGAAGTAATAGTCAGTAATAGATTGAGTCGCAATTTTTGATATTTGTATCATGGAGGTGCGCGCTCACCTCCATGTTAACAGGCCACATTAACAGTAACGGAAGATTAAATATATAAATAAATAAAGGGGCACCTTATTACATTTAGAACAATAGGTGCCTCTAGGCATTGCATGGGAGGCAAAAGTGCAAAGCAAAGTAATCCACTCACATTCCAAGGCAAAGCCTGCCATTGCTATGACCTGCCATAGGAATGGCAGGCCCCGATTAACATAGTTGCAATAAGGATATGTGGGGTTTAAAAAAAAAAAAAAAAAAAAAAAAAAAAAAAAAAAGCAGAATAACACACCAGGTGGAAAAATACTGCCTGGTCTGATGAGTCTTCAATTCTCCTCCAACACAAGCGGATCAGAATTAGGAAAAAAGATGAAAGCATGGATCCCTCCTACATTGTGAGAGGGATATTTTATTGGTGCACTTTAAGCTTCTTAGACTAAAGCCTAAAGTGCTAAATAAGCATTTTTTAAACCCCATCGCTTTCCTGAGTATTATCATCAATATGAACCTTGTACTAGAAAGGTGTACCCAATGAATGGCTGATGACAAATAGCCAACTCATTAATCATACCGATTTTGTAAAATGGCTGAAAAGGCAGCTGAACCTGATTCACTGAAGAGAAACATACAACTGCAAATTAAGCTATAAATAGGAGGGAAGCAGCTTCACAAGCCATTCATTTATTGTTTCTATATTCATTAATCAGTGACACTATGGATTTTTTTTTTATGAAACGGAGTGGGGAGAATAGACCTGATGATCACTGACGTAGGCCAATGACGGGAAAAGTGGACAATTCTGATTGATTGTTTCTGTAACACAAGAATCTAGTTTATCCAATCTTTACTGCTTATGTATAGTTAGCTGAGCACCTGCAAAATACAATGATTAGCATATAACTGATAACCTTTCCAGATAGTTTCATTTCTTCCAAAGCCCCTCTTATTGGGCAGTTTTGGCTCAGGATGTCAGATTTCGTCATGTAATTAGTGGGTTGCTTGTTCAAACCTTTGGCAAGACACTTCACCTCCAGGTGCCGGTCAGCCACCTCTTTTCTGTCAGTCTGCCCCTGTGGATACAATGTAACCTACCACTATCAGCATGTGAATGTGTGTATGAATGGGTGCATGACTGATAGTAGTGTAAGGCACTTTAAAAGTCCTAGGACTTGATAAAGCGCTATACAATTGCAAGCCATTTACTTTTTGTTATTATTTCTGGTACCACTGTTTTTAACAAACCTGAGATTAAAAAACTGTTATATTTAGAATGTAACATGAATTCCTTTCCTATTCCAGGTGTGTGTAGGCTGTATTCCGCTGACAACTGTAGTCATCCTACTTCCTTTGGAAACAGACACAGCCTTGATCAGCTGCTTCCATGAGGCCTGTGTGTCTTTTGCAAGTGTGGCTACTGCTGCAAATGTCCTGGCCATCACTGTGGACCGTTATGATATCTCAGTTCGACCAGCAAACCGTGTGCTAACAATGGGTCGAGCTGTGGCTCTGCTGGGATCCATCTGGGCTCTATCCTTGTTCAGTTTTTTTGTTCCATTCATGGAAGTGGGTTTCTTCATCAGATCTGGTACAGATCTTGTAAACCAGACTGCAATAGTGAAAGTCTCTCAGATGAATGAATATTACTCAGAGCTAGGCTTATATTACCACCTGCTAGCACAGATCCCCATATTCTTTTTCACAGCTGTGGTAATGCTGGTAACTTACTACAAGATCCTTCAAGCACTTAACATTCGCATTGGAACACGCTTTCAACACAACTTACCCAAGAAAAAGCAAAAGAGCAAAAACAACATATCTTTGAGCACTGCCACACAAGCAGAGTCTACAGAAGCTTCACAGAGCAGCACCACAGGCAAGGGTAGTGGAAATGCACCTTTAGGCATGCGGACATCCGTATCTGTCATAATTGCACTAAGAAGAGCGGTGAAGCGCCATCGAGAGAGAAGGGAAAGACAGAAACGAGTTTTTAAGATGTCTCTTCTGATCATCTCTACATTCCTTCTGTGCTGGACCCCAATAACTATCCTCAACACAATCATACTCAGTAATGGTCCCAGTGACCTGACTGTACGCCTTCGGCTTGGTTTTCTGGTAATGGCATACGGAACCACCATCTTTCATCCTCTCCTATATGCCTTCACTCGGCAAAAGTTCCAGAAAGTTCTCAAAAGTAAGATGAAAAAGAGGGTGGTGTCTGTAGTGGAAGCAGAACCAACACCAAACAATGTGGTCATCCATAACTCCTGGATTGACCCCAGGAGAAACAAAAAGGTCACGTTCAAGGAGACTGAGGCCAGACAAAAGTGTCTTTGCTCAGAGGAAGCAGAGTGACAGACTGAACTCATGTAAATATGTCAAGAAAGCACACAGAAAAGTGAATGAACTAAAACATATGGATGAGGAGCAGAAAGCAGAAAATGGTGGAAAAAAGAGTGGGAAGCAAAAATCTAATGAAAATGTTAGATGAAGCTGAAAATCAGGTTGACATACTGTATGAAGGATGAATGCTAAAATGATGGTATCATCATTGTTATGGAATTGTTATGACATGAACAAAGTTTCATCTTTATAAGATGAAACTTGAGATAATACTTGTTAAAGGTTTTCTCTGAGAAAGAGACATGGGTTATACTAACGTAATGCTATTTATTATAGACTCCCAGAGACTGAAATAAAGGAAGTTACTGTTGCAAAATTGATTCAATCAGTAGCTCCTGTTGTTCAGTGTAATACAGTGTGAGACAAAGAGTCACATAACACTTGGTTTGTCACCATTTGTAATAAATACCCAAGGGCACAGTATTTGTCAGGATCGCGTTGTCTACAATTTCCTCCTGAGTGACTCAAAGTGACAATGCATCAGACAAATAAGCATTAAAACTTTCTGTACATCTACATTGTTCTTATCTTTTTATTTTTGTTTAATTATTTAAACAAAAGAATACAAGAAGACCCCATAATATGAAAGCATTGTGAAACTGACAGATGGTAATTGATAGTTTCTCAAGATGCAGGAAGTTTGGATACTTGTTACAGCTACTAGAGACTCCCCTAGGACCTGTGGCAGATGCACAACTGTTTATTTAAGGTCTCTTAAAAAATGGGCCACTTACCAGTAACAAAGTATAGAACTGTTTTAAATGGGACAAATGGAAAATACACTTTTTTAGCTCAAATACATTTTGTGTACTTGGACCCTCAGAAAAAGTTAGAAAATTTAGTCTCTCCCAGTGCTGCATAGATATCTTTATATTAAGCTTGGATAATATTTTTCAGTCATTCAATTTCCTCTATATCCCACTATGTTTATTGTTTTTTTGCTTGCTTTTCGTTTTTAATCTATAATGTCAGTATTTGCTGCACGAGTTCTAAACAAAATAATAGACTAATGAGATGAGATTCCACTTTGATTATTAAAGTTATGTGGGCTTCCTCAGCAGAATCTCAGCAGAACCACAGGCTGATTTCCTTCATACCATGCTGTTATAATGCAGTAAATCAAGGAAAAGAAGTTCAGACCAAGAACAGAGTGCATATACTATGTAGAACACAAACATACTGCTCAGTAGAATAACATTTCTGTATTAGAACTTCTCTGTTCTGTATCTACCAAATTACATCTATTTACATTTATTTGCAGGCCACAGGAAACACTGGAACTTGTGAACTGACGTTTTTGCTTCTAATAAGTAAGACTAGTGTGTTAAATAGATAACCAACAGCACTGACCTGGAAAACATAAATGGAAAAGACCTACATCTGCATAGCCCTGTTTGGCAACACTTTATTTGAAGGGGTGTGCATAAGACTGACATGACACTGTCATAAAGATGACATAACATCTGTCATGAACATGAAGGAGTCTTTATGAATGTTGTCATGAAGTGTAATTTGGTAAATAATGTCACTTTTAATGCAAAGTTGCTCTAAAAGTTGAATTGAAAGTCCATTAAAAGTGCCAACTTTGCATTAAATT